TCTCTTTTAGCACAGACTCTAGTCCTTAACCAACCCTCGTATACTTTGGAATGATTTTGAGTTCCATATCTGAGTTCTAGAGCAGCTACCAGTGCTCTATAGTTATGCCTGTCGTCTGCTGACAACTGTCCAAGTATTTCCAGTGGTTGTCCCTTCAGGCTCGTTGCCAGGTACACTGCTTTCTACTCCTCTGTCCATCCATTCATTTCTGCCAGGAGCTCAAATTGTGCTCTATATGCTTCTCATGGCGCCTTCCCATCGAATTCATGTCGCTTCCTTCGTACTAAATCACCCCAATTACTGACATTCATGTCTGGAATGTGACTTCTGGCAGGACTGAAGATGTCTGCATTAGTGTTTAGCTGCGGGGTCTGGAAGGGGCTTCCTGTTGTCTGGGGCTGATTCGGTCCATAGTTAATATATCCTCTATGTGTAAAAGACAGTAAATCGTCCTTTAATGTATTTAATTCACTTTGAAATTTACTAATCTTTTCCATTTGTGTATGCTGGCTTTCTTTCAACTGTTGGAGACTTTCTTCTTGTTTATTTTATTTCTCCTCCAACCGCTGCTGTAGTCTCTTTTCTTGTTCATTTCCTTTCTCCTCCAACCACTGATGTTGTCTCTCTTCTTGTTTATTTTCTCGTTCTTCTTGTTTCCATTCTTTTCCTCCAACAACTGCTATAATCTCTCTTCTTGTTTCTTTTCTTTTCCCTCCAAAAACTGCTGTAATCTCTCTTCTTGTTTATTTTGTTGTTCGAGCAGTCACTGTTGTAGGTTTTCTTGCCCCTGCTGTTGTCTCTCTTCTTGATTCTTTTGCTGTTCTTGTATTGCTGTCATCAAATCTGCTAAGCTGTAGTTTGATTTGCCACTTCTTGTTTCCATCTTCTTTTTTTTCTTTTCCGTCCCACTCTCTGACACCAGTTTGTTACTATCTGCTTGTTTGATAATTTCTGGTAAAAATTATTTCAGAGAAACTTCAGCGATACAAGTCCCTTCTTGATTAAAACCAGTTTATTCTTTCTCTATACAAACTTTGTAATACACTTAACAACTTTTATAACATACCCTATAAATCACAGTGATTCACACACTTTATTTATGGTGCCTACTGTTCGCTTGACTCAATTATCTATCTATCTCTTCAATCTATCTGCCTCTGCCCCCTGCTGGTTTTTCTCACCAGGCTTATACAATAAAAAAGAGGGCACCTCGAACAAACTAGAGTTGCCAGGAAAATTCATGATCCTTCCAGAAACTCCAGCGCTCATGCTCCCAGCATTGTGTGACTTCCGCTGTCGTAACAATACTGTATGTACAAGAAACTTAGTAAGTAAGTAGAATTTCTAATTAGAGGTTGTTTATTTGTCAAATCAGTCCTATTATTAGTTACATGAAACCAAAGAGCAGAGGTTTGCAAACTATGTGTCATGACACACTAGTGTGTCACAAGAGTTTCACCAAAGGAAAAATAATTAATAACATTGAAAAAACCTCTACAAAACAATATTGCATGTGGCAGCAAGGGTGTCACACAAATCAAGGTAAGTGTGTTAGGGTGTTGTCATTGAAAAAGTTTTGGGAACTACTGATATAGATTGTAACTTGTAGAACTTAATGTTGAAGAAATAAAATGTTTTTGCTATCAGAAGTGGATTGGACTTTTTTTTTATTTTATTTTATATTTATGTTGATATCCATCATTTGTTTGCATAGTATGCTACTTCAGAATATTATAATTTTCCTTGATACTTACCTCCCCTCACATAACAGATTTTCTTGTTCAGTGTTGCCCCTATATGCACACTTTTCACTCACCCCTAGCCTTGATGCTCCCACTACCCTCACGTGTTTACACGTGATACAGCTGGAGTTAGGGTCACATGATTCTAAGCATATTGTACATGTTTTATCAAGATTATACATTATATATCAAACAATTTTTGATGCACAGATGATAACAGCTCAGCCCTTTAAATTCTATTTATCATACTTTCCTTTCAAAACTTTGGTGCAAACTAACTTATTAGTTACTTCTGGGACTCGACTCACTCATACGTTATTTGAATCAGTCTGGAAAAAACACACTACTTCTGTGATCATACAGAGAATAGTAAGCTCTTTTATCAGATAGAAACTAGGGTACATCTATTGTCAGACCAAGAGTAGTAAGGCATTTCTGTTATCAGACTGAAAGTAGTGCAGTACTTATGTTAACACACATAGACTACTCAGCCACTTCTGTAATCAGACGGACTAGTAAGCTACTTCTGTTATTGGACTGAAAGTAGTGCAGTACGTATATTATCAAACATAGACTACTCAGCCACTTCTGTAATCAGACGGACTAGTAAGCTATTTCTGTTATCGGACTGAAAGTAGTGCAGTACTTATGTTATCAAACATAGACTACTCAGCCACTTCTGTAATCAGACGGACAAGTAAGCTACTTCTGTTATTGGACTGAAAGTAGTGCAGTACTTATGTTATCAACCATAGACTATTCAGACACTTCTGTAATCAGACGGACTAGTAAGCTACTTCTGTTATCGGACTGAAAGTAGTGCAGTACTTATGTTATCAAACATAGACTACTCAACCGCTTCTGTAATCAGATGGACTAGTAAGCTACTTCTGTTATTGGACTGACGCTGATAATGTATTTCTGTTAGTAACTTTGTGTTCAAAACCACATAAGTGTGTTACTTGTGTAAACAGACTGACATTAGTATGTTACTTCTGTGATACAACTGACACTAAGCTTTTACTCTTTGAGTCATTTGCACTAATATATTACTCTTGTAGTATGTGAATTACATAATCAGATTGACACTAGTATGTTACTTCTGTGATACAACTGACACTAAACTTTTACTCTTGAGTTATTTGCACTAATATATTGCTTCTGTAGTATGTGAATTACATAATCAGATTGACACTAGTATATTACTTCTGTGATACAACTGACACTAAGCTTTTACTCTTGAGTCATTTGCACTAATATATTGCTTCTGTAGTATGTGTCTTATATAATCAGACTGACACTAGTATGTTACTTTTGTGATCATTCAGGCACTTTTATGTTAACAGATTTACACAGACAAGTTACTCCTGTGGTCACTGACACACTAATATTCAATGTATTTTTGTAAAAGGAGTAACACTAAATGTTTATTCCTGTGGTACTGATGTGAATAAGCAACTTAATAATTAGACAGACACCTGTATATTACTTGTTGTCAGATTTACACAGACAAGTTACTCCTGTGGTCACTGACACACTAATATTCAATGTATTTTTGTAAAAGGAATAACATTAAATGTTTACTCCTGTAGTACTGATGTGAATAAGCAACTTAATAATTACACAGACACCTGTATATTACTTGTTGTCAGATTTACACCGATAAATTACCGACATTAATATGCAAGATTTCTAAAAATAATAACACAAGGTTTACTCCTGTAATAAGACTGATACTGAGAGTTTATTGACACTACTATGTAACTTCTGTGACACAAAATTTACTCCTGTGATATTGAGAAGAATAAGTAATTTCAGTGATTATACAGATAGGTTATTGCTCTGGTTGCTGATATTGATATGCAGCTTGAGTGAAAAGAATGACACAAGGTATACTGCTATGATATTGACACTAATAAGAAATTCCTGTGATAAGACTGATACTAATAGGTTACTGATATTAAGAAGCTTCTTTAAAAATAATGAAAGTTTAAACCTACGTCACTGACAGTAATAAGAACTTCACATGATCATATCGGTATGTACAGTTTATTATTACGTTTACTGACATTGATATGCAACTGTGAAAGTAATGACACAAAGTTTACTCCTGTGATACTAACACTAATAAGAAACTCCTGTGATAAGACTGATACCAATAGGTTACTGACAATAATAAGCAGATTCTGTGAAAATAATAAAACAAAGTTTACTCCTTTAATACTGACACTAATAAGAAACTCCTATGATCAGATGGACACCTGTATAGTGCTTATTTGATCAGAATATTTACAGTAGACACCTAGTGTTATTTTTAATGAGCTAAAAGATGGATAGAAAACTACTGAAATTTATGCTGGAATTGTGGGTAATTTTAAAAAGCACACATGTATATTCATGTTTATCAGGTTTGGAAATAAGGTAATAGGCTTGTAATGCATAAGCTTACATACAAAATAAATAAAGCAATGAATAATTAAAATTTTTTTTTACAGTAACATAAATTGTACCTCTATAATTTACATGGCTTTCACACACTTCTTAAGATGTTTAAAAGCCAATCAGGTAAACAAGTTGAATATACGTATTTAAACCCGTCTACAAAAATAATAACCATTTGAAGTTAAAGATGTATCAATATGTAAAGAAGACACTCATAAAAAAGTATATGTCCACTCTTCTCACTCATAAAATATATAAAAAAACTGGTCAATACAAGGTACTACCGTAACTACTTGTTTTTATAATCCAAAAAACATGATTTCGAACCATAATAGAAACAGAAAAAAAAACGAAAAAGAATTATGGTCTTATCTTACTATTAACCAAAATGGGAGAAAAAAATCTGAAACATTAATTTCACTTTTCAAAGTAACTCAAAACTAAACCAGCTGATAATGAGCATTAATCAGTAAATTAATAATATATGTATAGTTTAACTATAAACATTCAACTTGAAAGAAGCTTTAACCATTAATGCACTTAAAAGTTCTGAGAACCTCTTAAAATGATGGTTATCTCATTTAGTCAGACCATGAGGTATTTGTATCAAATAAACAATTAACAAAATTTTAAATTAATCATAACTATAAAATAATAAAATTTTCTTTTGGTTTATTTTAACACCAGACATTAACATATAATGGCATATGAAACAAGATGAGTAGGTGTCACTATCCTAACATTAAGTTCCTTACCCGTCTGTCGCTACACAAAATGAGTAATCACTTCCTAAGCCTTTATCTTTAAGCCAATTTTCAAACTTTTGAAGCACCTCTGGAAATGTATCAGCACCATCAATTGTTTCCTATAAATAAAAACACTTTTCTGATGATTATTGTAACTAAAAATTTGTATAAACTTACAGAATTAAAAGAAAGGTCATTAATTTTACATACATGAACTAAAATATACACCTTAGAGAAAGAAATGTCACTAAATCTTTAAATGTGATAAATTAATCTACTTATAGGGTGATTACCAAATGCAAGTTCAAACCTTGAGAATTAATGAGCACTGACTTGTGTGTAGCATCTGCAGTTGTACTGGTCATATTATAGACTAAGAAAATAAAAATATAATCATAATATAATAATAAACATTTCTTTTAATTATAGGTATTTAAAGATATTTTCTTTCAAACCTTAACTACTATCTCTAGGACAAATGAGCATATAAAAGTAAAATGACCATGTACCACTACCCAGATATCATCTGTCAAAACAAAGTTAAAGATACAAATACATATAAATAAGGAAATGCTACAGCAATCCAATGAAGTCAGATTAATACAAAATTATGTTATATAAATAACAAATTTTAATAAAATACAAAATATAAAACAACTGCAATTCTAAGACACAGACGTAACAAGACCTATTACTTCAAATAACCAAGCATTTTTTATATGATGCAATATGTACAACATCCCACTGCTCCAAGAATCCCTCTTTAAGAAAAAGCTTCAGATGCATATATCCAAAATCTGCAGGCAATTTTGCCTTTTGTTAGGTCACGTTCCCTAGTTTAAAATTTAAACAGTGTTGTCACCACAGTGAAGCTAATGTTATCAGACAACACTCTTAGTTATCTTATTACTTACTTCCAATTAGGTTTTATACTTTGTAAGATAAAGCTATAATAATTAAAACTTTTATATCACAGATTCTGTTATCATTTCTTTAAATTTGACTTATTTAGTTTACTATAAGAATACATGGTCAACACTGATTAATTCAAAATACTGTATTATTATAGTGGAAGTTTTTTTTCATGTAAAAATTAATAAAAATTTGGTTGTAGAGTTACCCATCAAAGTTTTAAAAGTTGAAACACATCATCATCACAAAAATAAAATATCACAGTAGTTAGCATGGAGAAGTTAAACAGTTTTTAACACAATAATACTATACTATCCAAATAGCTTGCTAGTTTAATTCACTCCCTAATGTTTTTCAAACTTTGCAAGACAGCAAATGTTCAAAAAATGCAATTTTTAAATACTAGCACAATCTCTAAATTTAACAAACATGTAACAAGTTAACTACACTGATTTAAGAAACATTCTTGAAAAATAAAAAAGTGGGAATCCACAAAGACTGAATTAAACAAACAAAAAATTCTGTTGATGTGTAATTTTTAAATATAAATATTTTCTTTCATACAAATTAGATAGCACAACATTCTTTTTAAAAACAATTCTTAAATATCATTTTCAAATGTTCACAGGAATCCAATCCTTGAGACTGTAACCAATAAAAGGAGTGAACAGTCAATATAGTACAGTGGTTCCCAACTACAGGTGCACAAGATGGTTGAAAAAAATATGTTTTAAAATATAGCAACTGAATTATATGTTTTTACAATGTAACTTAAGAGCACATTAAACTGTTAATACTGTACAAAGTGGTCTGTGAAACTTTGGAGTTGGGACTAGCTGGTTATCAGTTGGAAAATGAATGGGAGCCAAAGGTTTAATTGCAATCAACCAAGTAAAATATCTTTATGATACCAGACTCTATTAAAGAAATTGGAAACAGTTTCCATAACAAAACCATTCCTTTGGTATAGAAATTGGAAATATGCCATTGAAAAATGTAATTTTTCATGTTCAACTTGATAATTACCTCTATGGTAAACATGATTATTAGTATACAATCTAACAGTCACCTTCATAGTGAATGGTGATTTTTAACACATAATTTAGCAATAACCCCGAAGCTGAATATGGTCTTTAAAAAAATGCACCTTTTTGGTAGAAGCCTGGACTGTATAAAATCTGATGAAATATAAACAATTATGTTCGCAATAAACATATCGATTTCTTCACAAGTACTGCAAAAATATTTGATTGAATGAGTAAGAATGCTGGATCATCTCATCTAGTTTGTTTGTGATGATTTTTTTCCACAAGATATGTAAATTAATATTGAGACAGATTAAAAAAAAACTGTGTATATATCTGTATATTAACTCTTCAAGTTAAATGAAAAGACCTAAACTTGTGGAATCAGTTAAAAAAGCTTTTGAAGAAGAATGGTTATTAGATATGTTGTGAGAAGATGAACATACGCTAAATAAAGAAACTGATGAGCATGAGAAAACTTGGTCCCACTAAATCATTATTAAACTATACCTGTAACGGACATAAAATAATAGGTTCATACCTGAGCATCAGATAAGTCAATGAGTTCTAGTCCATTGAAGATGAATTTTTGTACTCGTGGACAATAATGTGAGTCAGAAAAATGGAAGATCTAAAAAGTCATTTTTCCACAACTTTGACTTTAGAGTTTTAAAGTATAACACAGAAAAATATGAAAGAGAAAACACCCACATTAAAACAAATTCAATTTACAGTTACATTTGTTAAGCCTAACAAAATCTTATTGCTTAAATAGCTAGGAAACTTTACATCACTGTAATATTTTTCTTATACTACAGAAAAATCAGTACTCCAGTTAAACTTTTGGTTTCCACAGGTCCAGCCCAGATTATGAGTTCTGGGTCTGAATGAAAGGTCTTTTAACTTGCGGCAGACAGAGAGACATATGAAATAAAGCTGGACAATTAACACAATTACCTATGAACATTAATTATTATTACTTGGGGCCATGTAAAATAATCAATTAATAGTAGTTTCAACTATTACAGTTTTTGATTATTCAAACTATTCAGCATTTGCAATTACAATTGTTATGAAAATAATAAACTATTTAAAATTAGTTTTTCTGATTATTCCAATTATCTAGTAATCAAAACATTACCATTATCATTTTTAATTATCATTTTCTATTAATTAAAGTTTGTTCAGCTTAATTAGTGTCACCACTCAAGAAAATAATAAGCTAATTAAAATCAAGGTTTCCAGATATTACTATTTTTCATTTACTCCAACTATCCAAGTAATCAAATTTTGCAATTGGTCGAATGTAATCAATTACTACTGATTAATTGATTAACAAGTTCCACTAATCATCCAGCTCTATTTTAACACACTTTTGATTTGAGCTCTGTAATTCACTAATTATGTGGAATGTGAAAAACTTCAGTCATATGTGATTTTTATTACTTTTATTAGGTTTATAGGTTTTGCTGTGTCAACTTCCTCATATTTGTCCAGCAACTTCATTACAATAAGCCTGATGCATATTTTAATTTAAAAAAGTGCCTGAAAAAGAAAAAAAGATTAAAAAAAAAAGACATTTCTAATACTTGCAAGGGAATAAACATTTAAGTTTTTTCTGTTAATGGACATATTTTTAATAGGTGCAAAAGAAATATCAACAGCCACTTAGAAATATCTTGTGGTTTGCCTCTCCATTTAATTAGTGATAAAATTAAGTGACACAAAATGTCTTAACAAAAAGGAATTTACACAATGAAAAAGTTGCCAAAAGTGAATTGAACTTTGTAAGTATGAGGATTGTTCTAAAAATTTGTGGCCCAACCTAAATGAAACTGAAATGTATGATTTTTGCTGATAAGTATTAAAGTTGAACCTTTTTATGATTAAACAACACATAACATAAAACAAATTCATTTTGTGTTACAGATTTTTAAAGGAAAGAAGTAAGCAGCGTTAAACATCATAGAGAAGATTGAACTTTGTGTTGTGATCAAATATTTTGTTGAATAGAAAGTGATTCAATATCTAAGCAGCTATGAATGAATCTATAAACTGTAGAGATCTTTAGAATATAATGTATCTCCTTTTCATAGATAATTTATAACCTACTGTACGGCAGGAAATTCACAGCAGCCAAAGAAGCAACTGCTGCCACAGTTTTCAAAATGGCCGTGGTGCCCTCACAAAATCAATGGCCACCTTTCAGTATCCCTTTGGCCATCATGCCCTCGTGATCTAAATTTGTATTGCATAATGCAGTAAAGGGAAAAACATTGGGAGATCACAAACATTGGACTTACAACCTATATAAACTACCTCATTATGATTAATATATCACATAAAATGCATGTACTAAGAATCTTCAGTGTGGTATGAATCAACTACACAAAGTGATAACTTCACTCCCTCCACTATGATTAATATATCACATAAAATGCATGTAGTGGAGGGAGTGAAGTTATCACTTTGTGTAGTTGATTCATACCACACTGAAGATTCTTAGTATAATTAATATATCACATAAAATGAATGTAGTGGAGGGAGTGAAGTTATCACTTTGTGTAGTTGATTCATACCACACTGAAGATTCTTAGTATGATTAATATGAAATTATTAGTAGCAAGCAATTCAAATTGGCCCTCAAACAACAAAGATTCACAGTGACAGCAGTACGTGACGATCAAAGTCAGCACATACATATGCTGGTCAAATACTCCTTACATTAAACATGCTGAAAAAGAAGCTAGTTAAGAGGGAGAATGGTGTGAAACTTTTCTCTGTGGCAGCCAAGTGCCAAAAATTGGAATATTTTTTTCATTGGTAAATATGTAGATTTTTCCTGATTTTTTACAAAATGAAAGGAAATATGATATGTCAATAATTTGGCTTGATAAATTTTATGTGCAAAGCCACCAAAACTATTACATTAGCTAGCTAGGATTAATGTTAGTGAATTACAAGTAGCAAGTTGCACAATGCAACGTGTGATGATGAGTGATTTATAGGTTATGATCATGTGCTATACTGTAGTGTAGGCCAACTTACTGTTTATCAGCACTAGCCTACATTTGAAATCATGTGAAAAATACTAGTAGTAGTATTGTTTAGAAACAGAATGTTGACCTTATGTTGTGGCAATGTGTCTTTCTCTCAATCTGTCTGTCCATTAAGATTTTGAA